GAGCGTTTCATCCAAATCAACAGTTCCTCGTTGTATAAACGGCACTGCTACGTTAGTCGAGGTTCTTGAAAGGGTGTACGAATGCTGTTCTACATGCAAGTTTACTGGCGTTGTTGTAGTCTACCGTGAACTATGAAGTCATGAAGTGAACTGCATTGTTCCTCCGACATTCGCCTGATTAACGCTATCACTGCATTCTTCATGCTTGGCTGACTCAATTGCATTGGGAAATAATTTTCAACTGCAATATGAGTCAGATAACCATCATAGTGTAACCACCTGTCACAAATTGACTGTACGTTCACATCGGTGTTACTGTGTGTGCAGTAAGCCAATATGTGACGGCATGGTAATCCGTTTCCAATGAAGAATGGACACGAGCACCGGCTAGTATCGACGTGTACGTAGTACGTCCCCGTGGCGTCCATAGCGGTGAATAAATCTTCCGTCAATGCAAACTGCGTTATAGGAATGCGAAGGTGTCGCTTCAGTAGTTGACAGGCAACTGGTGTCAGTCGTTCCTGAAGTCGACGTACTTCCGGCTCCTCACCAATATCGGCTTTCCCCCGACAATCCATTGAATATTTATGTAATCTTGCTTCCATCCAATATCCAGTACGAAGCAGCACATTGAAAATGGATCTGAGAACCGGTGTTTTTCGATTAAGGTGATACATCTTCAAGACTCGGTGACTGGTCTCGACGAAGTTCGTATTGTTCAGTTCAAAGAGAGTGGATGGCGGTCGAAAAGCAGTGGACCATTTGTGTTTCCGTGGTAGAAGGTGGTCTCTGATGTATCTGCCAAACGTTCCGTCCGACATTTCGATTAACGAAAGTACGTTGTTAAAACTACAAAATCATGTTATGTAGATTTTGATTTACCTTTCAACCGTTCGAGTGAACATGAGGCGAAAGAACAGTTGTACAATTTCTGATCGCACCCTCTACAATAACGGTTACTGGGTTAATGTTAATGAACGAAACACTTACCCTCTTTATCACATTCCGAACAAGGTGTACGCGACACAAAATATGGTGTGCATCCGGATACACCTGCGTAATAGCAGCAGCAATTGCAGGTGAATCATCGGTCACAATGCCTACCAGTTGTCGACTGTTGGTACACCATTGGAAAAAATGCAGGAAGGCAGAAATGAATGTTGACGTTTCGCGACTTAAAAAGGAAATGCACATAGGTATTGCCTTAAAATTCATATCCAGAGCAACGACTTGATATAAATGGACGTTCTCGTTATTCGTTTTGTACGTCCCGTCAAAACCAATTACGTCACAAAAGTGATCGGCCAAATTCACTTGCTCAGCAGTCATGAAGAAGAAATACGATAGACAGTTCTCATCGTCCAATTCGTATTCGCAAAGCCCACCCAAGGATGTTATGTGAGCTTTCAATTTCCCGTAATCACCTTTAGTGTACATTAAAATTGGCAAATTCCGTACCAGGAAGGTTCGCGTGTGAGAACACTTTGTACCGCATATTGCAGACATCTTGAGCGGTCAGACATTTCCCATAAGATTGGTAAGCAAAATTCTTTATGTGGAATGCAGCGGTACCGGAAATCAGCAGCGGTCTCACAGTTTCAAACTCCCCATCCGTTAACCTGTGCACCCATGAATTACCCTGGTACCTCAGGGAATTGCACTCGTGATTGTGATGTACATTCCCACGTACAACAGTCCAATAGCCGTCTATAATCTTACAAAACATAAATGCTGGACATTGGGTGTTCATAGAAGCCCTTCGTTCAAAAAATTATAAAACAATTTACCAAATTACCTCCTCCGTCTAATACGTTGTGACGAACCGCTAGATCTTATACTCCCATTTCGCCAACACACAAATTTAATGTAGGATTTTTGATCTCTGCCAATATGCGAATCTCTCACTACATAATGACTGTAAGTCGATCTTTCAAAATTTGTGATAGTGGTCTTTAACGCTTCAACCGATGGAAACGCAACCAGAAACAAGGTAGTCAAAAAGACTTCCTCCATTTCCGTTACGTGAGAAACACCAGCGCTTGTACTCGGCACGTTACTCTGCTCCATAATGACGATTGAGATTGTGCTTCGTCGACAAGTACTGATAATTCATAACAATTTTCAAGACATAACTAACCAATTAAATCTAATTTTTGAAACTAGCCATTTCATTGGACGAAACACGGGATGAAAAATATTGTAATTTTGGGGTGGAAAATTTTTTTTATGGGGTGGGGTTTTTTTTTTTAAAATGGCCGGTCGGACAATATTATTCAATCAATTATAACGCATTTAAAACTAGCCATTTAATTGGACGAAACGGAATGAGAAATATTGGAAAGTGGGATGAAAAAATTTTTCTAAAGGGGTGAAAAAATTACAAAAATGGCCGGTCGTTTAATGATATTCTACCAAGTGAATTTAAATTCAACCCATTGCACAAGCAAATGGCTATCAGGACTCAGTAGCTGAGTGAATAACGCGATGACGTTTGAAGCGAATGGTACTGGGTCCGAGTCCCAGAGTGAACATCAAGTGAGATGCAGGTGCATCCAGCTGACGAGTCTCAAATAGGACGAAACGCGCGTCCTGGATTCCACTGCTAGCCACTATCCATCTTTGCTTATAAGAGCTTGTGAGTTAAGGCAATATCGAGGCATACGTACAGTATGCACATATGCCAATAACAGACTGATCAATTGCAGTCTTAAACCTCAAAGGGAAGATACAAGCAAAACAATCCCAAGTGAATTTACATATATGTCGCTTATGAATCACCTTGACCGAAATGACATGACATGAATTTATTTAGACCTGTTTTTTTATTGATCACATAATATTCTTGTTGCTCTGTTGTACTACTTAAACTTGGATTAATTTTGATTTGGTTATTTATTTTCTGAAGTGGCTTACACTAAGTCACAAAACGTCAGAAAATCTCATTTTTCCACTCATTGGGATATTACAAATATATTATTTTTTGATAAAGACCCACTATATGCTCAACTTATTCGAAAATATCAGGTCAAACCTTGGTAATTATACCTACACAAATATATACATCTTATAAAGTTTGGTCTATTCGGTTGTGGTTTTAAACGACCACTAAAATGTTGCTCTTTACTGGTAACATTAACAAAAAGTTATATAGTTTGTAGTTTTAAGAATCTGAGAAAAGCGATCATGAAGTTATTTAACTTTTGTTATACTCGTATTTATCTTGTTACAACTGAGCCTAATTATTTTCTTACTATCCAACTGTTAGCATCATGTCACGGCTATTATTTGAGTCCAAATAAAAAAAAACAGTTTTGATTACCATTCCTACAAGTTATATGGTAGCACAAAATACCATAAGGAACAGTTAACACATTAAGCCATGTGAGTTTTTATGAGACCTGTCGAACCATGTTTGAACATAACAAACTGTACCTAGCAAATAACAGGAAAATAACCATGAATGAACTAAATTCATTGAAAAAGGTAATTCAGAAGTCAACATTTGTTAGATAGTGGGCTAACATACTGGTGAAGGTGATTCTGAAAGAATGGGGTCTTACATTCGATAATGAGGTTATGCTTAATAAATGGTTGTGCCACTACATGGTTGAAATTCTCTCATGTTTAAAGTGGCTAGCAAAGGATATCAAAATTATAAGTCTCTATAACGGATGTTTATCTGCTTGAAGTAACATCCTCACCATACAATGTAACTCTTTCTCTACAAAAACCATTTCGGTTAAGGAAAATAAGTTTCTAAAATGTATTGCGCATAACAATCACACATTGACGACTCATTATTGCCTAAATTTTCCTAATGATTTGCTAATATCTATGTCACAGGTATCGAAAATCGTCTTCGCATCTTTATTTCACATCCAATATGTTCAACAGCATTCATCGTCCAATTACACCTTGTCTTCTGCTAAAGCTTGTTATTATCTGTCCTTCCTAACTCTTATCCTGAACTACTGACTAACTTGGCAAGACAAATCGATGGAACATCATGTGAGTTTCTACGTTTTATTTTAGTGGTGTAGCTAAGCCTACTCAAAATCATTTTATAGTTCGGATCTTCACAACACGTAATCAATGGTAACAGGCAAACTTGTTGAATATTTGTTTACTATAAACCACATGATAATGTCAAAGATTATTAGTAAACGCAATACACGCCTAAATAAGACAGGTGATATTTAGGATCATATCCTCCACACGATCCTTATAAAATTTTATAATACTTTGGGTGTGCCGAAAAAATTATTTCCAAATTTCTCTTACGACATCGTATGCACTTCTGACACAATAGTAAGATGTACAAATTGAATAACGGTTATTGAGATATTATAAAATTTAGGTAATAAGATGCATGAAATCCAGTAGTGAGTGTGCGATACAATATTACGTTAAAGTTAATGTAAGTTCATACGTTATATACAATTGTTTTCTACATAATATACACCATGGATTCGGATGCATGATAACTCGGACTAACACGATATCCAGTGAAAATATGTAAATGGAAAATATATGGTGACGCTAATATCACCACCTTATGATTCATAATGTGTGACTTACCAATGATATCAAACTACGATAAAACAGAAAATAGTTACTAGAATATCGCAGCAATTTATATTTAATAATGCAGATCAACGAACTACTATCACTTTCTTTAAAAGTATTTTTTCTAGGCCTCTTCCAATAAGATTTGTAATTACAGTCCTGTAATTTACAATGCCGAATCATTTTGCTTGGGAATGTACAATACTTATAAATACATATTTTTTGTACTAATATATTAATTTAATGTTTGACACATTCCGGGTTTAATCTCAATAAAACTACAAGAGATAAGAAAGCAGATTAGGTAAGAATTTATTATCATCATAATCGTATAAAGATACCAAAGTTATCGACCCTGTAACATATATTGTTGGGACTGGAAAATTTAAATTCAAAGAACTTGAAAGACAATATACCGTAATGTTAGGAAAAATTTACATGTATGGAGGATTATGAATTTTAATTCGATGAGAATGGCTTTGAGGACGTGCAACAACATGCACAAAATTGTCAGGATAGGATAAGTGTTCGCTGATCCATTGCATCGGTGTTTCGTGGGGTAATGTGATACCATGGATGAAAAACAGATACCCTGAAGGACAAAAATGGTACAACATAGTTACATCAAAATTACAAATCAAAAGAATCAGACCATATTGGACAAGACAAACATGATTTACAAATGTAGGTACATCAATCAGTTGTATAGACGAAGCTTATTTGAATCACGTTGGATAAATGGGATCATAAAGCACGAAAGTGCTTTGAAGGAAAAGTAACGTATATTTTTAAAGTACGCTTTCATTTCCTGTGTATTTTTTAGTCATTTAAATAAAAAAAGGATGTAATTAATGAAGTACATGCTTTACTCGAATTATCGACATTTTCGTAACTCATCCTTAATAACATTCGAAGAACATAATTTCGAGAGCATAATCACCTTTTCTATTCAATAGAGACGTTTTGACCTCGATCTGTACAAAACTAAGTAAAATACAATCTTTTATTCTCCATAATGCTTAGCAATTTTGTTTTAATGAAAAAGGTAACCAAACGCGTAACAAAAGTCAGGATATACATTAGGCTAAATGGTCAATTAACATATACGTTATTACAAGTTCGAACATTGTCACAGAAAGGTAAGACTACATTGCTTGGTTTACAGGCATAGTAGTTAGTAGAGCATGAATATCATTTGCTAAGTGCTTGAAAGTAAAATAAAGTTTGAATTTTAAGTAGCATTAATAAACTAATTACTCGATTTCGATGGCATAAAGTAAGTAGTTAACCAATGACATATTTACAATCTTAGTTATTAATGTAATTTTATCATAAAATTACTTATTCTCAGTAGATCGATTTGACATTAATAGGCACGAGAGTGACAGGTCCTGGGTCCGAATCTCGTGAGACGGGATCGTGGATGAGCACTGTTGAGGAGTCCTACATTAGGACGAAACGGCCGTCCACTGCTTCCAGGTTTTCCATGGTGGTATAGCTACAATTGACTCAATTTCAACCATTAATATTATTGTATTACTTGTCTGCTCACTGTAATTTAGACATTTATTCCACTATGTAAAATTATGTGTGAGTCTGATTGAGCGCGTGTCTGCACATCAGTATTTAAATATATTCTCCCATTGGTTGTAACACACAGACAATCAATAATTTATCCACTCCTACAGACACACTGTCTCACTCGTTTCCCAGTGCTTGCCTTCTGCACGCTTGTGGATTTTACTAATATTTTACAATAAACTATCTCTACAACTGGTGTTCAGGCTTTTGAATAATCTAGAGTAAATCCATAATTATACTAGGAGATTTAGCCCGTGTTAAATACTCAACAGGATACTATTTATCGGAGTCAGATATAGAGGAAATTAGCCTCTACAAAAAGTGAAATAATATATGAATACTTACAAAGATTACCTTTTGGTTTGGTATTTTGTACAAGTGGATTTTTATTTGTATGCAAAAGAATTTCGATAGCATCTTGAAGTGAAGTAAGCGAACCGTCATCATTTAAAGGACGAATAAGTTTTTGAATGAAACCAGATGGTGTGGAACTTGAATTCTCAGAAACACAATAAAGACGACATGGAATGTAACGAAAAGTTCTACACTTTGAAGATGACATGTTATTGAGACTTGAAGACAATGGTTTATTTTCTGGAATTCCAGGGGCAGACATTTCCTCTAAAGGAAGATCTAAAGATGATAGGTGAATAAGAACATCTCACAATAGTAAATAGTGTAGGAGAAATTCATATTACTCTTCAATACGTATATGTATTTTAAGACAAGTAAGGTGCTAAGATTAAATTAAGCGTGAGTGAATAAATGTAGGACTTTTTTATACACTGCTAAACATGATTTTTCTTGACGCACAGCATGTAATGTTGTTATGATCAGATTTATCGTAGTAATGTCTGTTTAAAAAATCTACTTACTCGAATACAATAAAAAATTTCCAAATATATTTATTACTGTTGTTCGATTTAGTCAATATAATGTACTACAATAAAGCGAAACTGGTGTCCAATACATGGAAGTTTATAAAATTCAACATTTAGGAACTGAAACGGTCTCAGCAGTTTCCTATTCTGTGCCATATGTAGGAAATCGGGCACTAAGTTTATATTGTAAGAATTAAATTATTGATGACGATTAGGAACAAATAAGAGATATGATACGATTCAAAAACATGGCATAAACAATAGCACAAATCAGCTCAACTTTTAAGTTTTCGAAAAGACTATTGAAGAAAAACGCAGTAATAAATATAGGACATACTTCAAATTAAAAATGAATATCAAGAGAAACAACGTATAATAAATGATATGATTTGGGAGCAGAGAAAATATTCAATTGGGAGTGAAAACAGTCATTTTAATCAGAAAGTAGTTAAATTTTTCTACGATTAGCCCACTGAGTTGAATAAAATGTTTGAGACCAAGTACAGAGTACATTTGCAAATAGCCACATTCGCTGTTATGCATGTGTCTATGCCATGATGTAGAATGTGTCATGATGAAATGGAAAAGTACAAAAACCTCCGAGTTTTCACTCATCTGTAAAATTCTTGTTGAGACTAAAAATAATTTTTGGTTCACAGTTATACAGTGTAGTAAAAATATTCGTTTCATGAGGTCGATTCTTTTTTATTATCAATGATCCACAACGGCTTATTGAACTAATTTAAGCGAAAATAAAAAGAGACATGATTTGTAAGCAATGACACAGGTGACGTTTTCATAGTGATTCAATGGATTCGCCGAAACGAAAAATTCTTTCACATTAATTAGATACCTTCTTTTTAATAAATGGGAAATTATGAGGTAACACTAATAATCAGTAATATACGAAATTTCGATGAACCAATGCTAACACATTATGCGTAAGATGATACTGGTTCTCTTCCGTTAGATCATTTTTGGGCAGTGTACAATCTGGACCATACACTCTTTAATATCAGCTGTAACAGTCAACAGAAAGGCAAAAGACACCCATGAAAGTGGTCAGAAATGAAGAATTATGGTAGCGGGTAAATATATACTTTATGTACAGTATTCCCATTGAATTTACAGAAGTGGATTCCGGTAACAGTCATTTAAATGGGTAACAATTTCATAACCTTGAGTATCTTTACATTTTGTTTTCTTTGACTACAGACAAGTTCACTCCTAATCGCGTAAACAGATAAATAATTTCGATATCTACTGAACCTACATTTCCTTGTTTGTAAAAGCTGCTTGTTGTATGACAAGATAAAGCAGGTAAGTAAAAGCTTATAACCTCAGAAAAAAATACACCGATTTGTATGAATAAACTTCATGAAAACACAGAAATGTTGAGATATTTACAAAAAGAACAACATAAATGAAAAAAAGGTAATTTGGTTTATTCATTAGAAACTTTGGTATGGGCCACACACTCCAAGTGCGAGGGTTAATAATACTGTCCGGTTGCCCGAATCGGAGTAGCTGAAATGAGGTTCGAACCTGTGATTTGGTGGCTTACAAGTTGAACGCCCTAAACACTAAGACATCACTCCACCGAGATGATACAAATAAAGGGAGATTAGTAACAAAACCAAAGTCTCAATAGTAAAATGTATTCTGTCAAGATATGTAAATAATTTCAGATACTAGAACAGGCAGCTTAAAATCAAGTGAATATTAGATAATGTTATCATTTAATGTAGAGCAATTCGATGTATATAAACAGAAGTGCTATTTCATAGCACTATCAAAAACAAGGATATTAGTGTTATGTTTGCGGGAAGTTTTATCTAGAGTATCACGACGCGTAAAGTGTGAAAGCGAAGAAATCTGTTTCTTATTTAGCTGACTTAATATTAAACATCTGTAGCGAGATATAAGAACACTTACCCTTGGTATTTTGTGGAAGAGGCTCCATTAATTTGCTATTGATCGACCAAAATTGGTCATATCGAAAGTGTAGTAAGCCATTCCATAATTGCCGATGATCTCTAGCTTGCATTTGATTGATAACGTAGCTACGATGCTTTAAAGCATCGGCTTCTTTAATCATCGACAGGAAATGTGTTTCAACAGCTAGTCGACTTACCGGTGGGGATAAAAGCAAGTCAGTTGGATAATTCTAAAATAATATACCGTAAGAAAATAAGAACAGTTGACAAATTTGAAATCATAAAAACTCCGAAGTATTTTATTAAGTGCGATTTACGATGAGAAAAATATTATTTACTTACTGACGCCCGTTACCACTCGTCGAGGAGCATAGACCATTCACCAGCACTTTCCATTCAACCCTGTCTTGGGCAACCCTTTCCAGTTCTTTCTAGTTGCTATTCGTTCTTTTCATGTCTGCTTCCGATTCCAGTGTTCTTTGGACTTCCTTTTTCCGTTTCCTTTCACGATTCCAAGTTAGCGCTTGCTTCGTGATGCAGTTAGGTGATTTAAGTAATGTATGTCTTATCCACCTCCGACGTCTTTCCCTAATTTCCTCCTCAGCTGGAAGCTGGTTTGTCCTCTCCCAAAAACAGGTTGTTGCTGATGGTATCCGATCAAAGGATATTGAGTATCTTGCGTAGACAACTGTTTATAATTGATTATACCTTTTTGATGACGGTTGTAGTTCTCCGAATTTCGACTCCTTACAATAGAACTAACTCTCTTGACGTTCGTATTGAGGGTTCTGAATTTGACACCGGTTGACCGTTGCTTTGAGTCCCATATCTTCTTCAATTGTAGGAGTGCGACCCTTGCTTTGTCAATCCTCGCCTTTACGTCCATATCCGATCCTTCCTGTTCATCGATGATGCTTCCCAAGTACATGAAAGTCTCCACATCTTCCAGAACTTCTCCATCAAGTGTGATTGAGTTGGTGTTCTCCGTGTTGTGTTTGAGGACCTTGCTTTTTCCTTTGTGTATGTTGAGGCCCACTGATGCAGAGGCAAAAAAATATTAGACTTCCATATTTCTGTTTATGATGTTTAATACACTAAAAGGAATGACTAGACAATAGCAAGATTAGTGCATGACAAATCTACACTAGTCAACAAATACGCTTTAAGAAAGGATCTTAATAGTGAAGTGAAAGCCTATTCACTCTCCTTGTTTATGCTATGATAAAAAATTGTTCACCAAAATGTTTACAAGATGAGGTGAATTTCCGGGGAGAAAATATCACATAGGACTTGGTAAAATAATTCGCACAGCTCCAAAGAAAATGCTGTTCATGAACCTCAAGTGTATATAACTAGTGATAAACATGAAAACTATCTGGAAAAACCAATAAGAAAGAAATTTTATATAGTTTCTATTATTTCTAACTCCGCCTGCAGCTCTTATAGGGTTGCTGCCGGTCCCAAGCCCGGGTAAATGAAGAGGGTTTGGCATGGGGTTAGCGTCCCCATCCCGTAGAAAACTAACTCGCTAAAAAAACGCTCACCAGAAAAAATAATCCAAACCATTTTAACTCTGCCCTGGGAGTTAGAAGGTCTTCATTTAGAAGAATTATGACGCTTCATGGTGAAAGCCGAGTTCCTTCAGAAGCCACGAGGCCGATGCCTCCTCTAACAACCAGAGCAAAATTTTTTACAGGTACATGGAACGTTCGAACAATGTGGGAAACCGGGAAGACCAGTCAAATATCAATGGAAATGAGGAGATACAACTTAGAAGTACTGGGAATCAGCGAAACCCACTGGACCCAAGCTGGATAGAAAAGGCTAGCTACGGGAGAGATGCTGCTATACTCCGGTCACGAAGAGGACAATGCTTCACACACTCAGGGAGTCGCTCTTATGCTGTCCAAAGTAGCACGAAATGCACTTGTAGGATGGGAATCTCACGGATCCAGAATCATCAAAGCATCATTCAAAACAAAGAAGGAGGGGATCCTAATGAATATTATCCAATGTTATGCACCCACCAATGATAGCAACGACGACATTAAAGATCAGTTCTACGAGCGGCTACAGTCAATCATTGAGAAATGCCCAAGGAAGGACCTAACTATTCTGATGGGAGATCTAAATGCCAAAGTCGGAATAGACAACACTGGATATGAAGATATTATGGGACGACATGGACTGTGAGAGAGAAACGAAAATGGGGAAAGATTTGCAAATCTATGTGCATTCAACAAATTGGTCATAGGAGGCACAATATTTCCACACAAGCGTATACACAAGGCTACATGGATCTCACCGGACCACACTACAGAGAACCAAATAGATCATATTTGCATCAACAAAAAATTCCGAAGGACAATGGAAGACGTGAGAACCAGGAGAGGTGCTGACGTAGCTTCAGATCACCACCTAGTTGTAGCCAATTTAAAACTGAAGCTAAAAAAGAACTGGACAAGTGGACAAACAGCAATACAAAGGTTCAATACAGCCTTCCTTCGAGATACTGACAAACTCAATGAATTCAAGGTAGCTCTCAACAACAGGTTCCAGGCCTTACAGGATCTACTGAAAGAACAAATTAATATGAAGGACAACTGGAAAGGTATCAAGGAAGCATTAACTTCAACTTGTCAAGAGGTTCTCGGTCTAAAGAAATACCATCATAAGGAATGGATCTCTACAGAAACACTGGACAAGATCAAAGAAAGGAAGAACAAGAAGGCAGCAATAAACAACAGCCGAACACGAGCAGAGAAAGTCCAAGCACAAGCTGAATACATAGAAGCAAACAAACAAGTGAAGAAGAGCATTAGAACCAACAAAAAGAAGTACGTAGAAGAATTAGCAACGACGGCAGAAAAAGCTGCTAGAGAAGGAAATATGAAACAACTTCACGATACAACGAAGAAACTAGCAGGGAAATACAGTAAACCAGAGAGGCCGGTCAAAGACAAAGAAGGCAAGCCAATCACTGAAATTCAACAACAGCGTAACAGATGGGCAGAATACTTCGAGGAACTCCTGAATAGGCCGGCTCCAATGAATCCACCGGACATTGAAGCAGCACACATAGATCTTCCTATAGATGTCAATCCACCAACTACGGAAGAAATTAGAATGGCCGTCAGACAAATCAAGAACGGGAAAGCAGCAGGACCCGACAACATACCAGCTGAAGCACTGAAATCAGACATCGAAGCAACCACAAGCATGCTTTATCTTCTATTCAAAAAGATTTGGGAGGAGGAACAAGTGTCGATGGACTGGAAAGAAGGACACCTCGTCAAGATTCCAAAGAAAGGAGATCTGAGCAAATGTGAAAACTACAGAGGCATTACACTACTGTCAATACCAGGGAAAGTCTTCAACAGATTGTTGCTGAACCGGATGAAGGATGCAGTAGACGCCCAACTTCGAGATCAACAAGCTGGATTCCGTAAGGATCGGTCGTGCACAGACCAAATTGCAACACTACGGATCATCGTCGAACAATCAGTTGAGTGGAACTCATCACTATACATCAACTTCATTGATTATGAAAAGGCATTCGATAGTGTAGATAGGAGGACATTATGGAAACTTTTTCGACACCACGGAGTTCCTGAGAAGATTGTCAATATAATCCGGAACTCATACGACGGACTACGGTGCAAAGTAGTGCATGGAGGACAACTGACAGATGCATTCCAAGTAAGGACCGGAGTCAGACAAGGCTGTTTACTCTCTCCCTTCCTCTTTCTTCTGGTGGTCGACTGGATTATGAAGGCCTCGACATCTGAAGGAAAACACGAAATACAATGGACAGCTCAGAACCAATTAGACGATTTGGACTTTGCAGATGACCTAGCCCTCCTATCGCGTACACACGAACAAATGTAGATGAAGACAGCCAGTGTAGCAGCAGTCTCTGCATCAATAGGCCTCAACATACACAAGGGGAAAACCAAGGTCCTCAAATTCAAAGCGGAGAACAGCAATCCAATCACACTTGATGGCGAAACTCTGGAAGATGTAGAGTCCTTCACATACCTGGGAAGCATCATCGATGAACAAGGAGGATCCGATGCAGACGTAAAGGCGAGGATCGGCAAAGCAAGGGTCGCATTCCTACAATTGAAGAACATATGGAACTCAAAACAACTTTCAACCAATATCAAAGTAAGAATCTTCAATACGAACGTCAAGGCAGTTCTACTGTATGGAGCTGAAACTTGGAGAACTACAACAACCACAATCAAGAAAGTACAAGTATTTATAAATAACTGTCTACGCAAGATACTCAACATCCATTGGCCGGATACCATCAGCAATAGCCTTCTGTGGGAGAGAACAAACCAACTTCCAGCTGAAGAAGAAGTTAGGAAAAGACGATGGAAATGGATAGGACATACATTACGCAAATCGTCAAACTGCATCACGAGGCAAGCCCTAACTTGGAATCCTGAAGGGAAGTGAAAAAGAGGAAGGCCAAAGAACACATTGCGTCGGATAATAGAAGCAGATATGAAAACGATGAATTACAACTGGACGGAGCTAGAAAGGATTGCCCAGGAAAGGGTTGGATGGAGAATGCTGGTGAGCGGCCTATGCTCCTTCACGAGGAGTAACAGGCGTAAGTAAGTATTATTTCTGCATGAGATGATTTATTACAACTGGACAACTTCAGTGCTTCTCTGGAGTGAGACGGGTAATTAGATTATTTATCAAGATCTATTTTTTGTTTCGTTGTCCATCAAAACAGTGTAGATCTTCGAAATTTAAAAGACTATTGACAGTTAACCTTGGATCATTCATCTGATATAACCTACAAGATTCACTTAAATATTCCCACAAGCCAACGTCTGAATCTAATTCACACAAAGACAAATATTCGATTAAACCAGAGTTATGTATATCAGAAGTCAGTTAGATTTGTGTTTCCATGACCTTAAGCTTTTTTTTATTTCCGTTACTTATTGATTAAACAGATATTCTAATTTCCTATGGTTATTTTGTTACACAGAATTCTTTTTACCGAGAATTCTTGATTATTATTCGCATAACATACTTTTTAGTTTCCGATTCAGTGTACTTACAGTTACCCTTCGCACCTTAATGACCGAATATTTTACGTTTTACAAACTTCATATTGTCACAAACACTAATAGCATTTAACCTTAACTTATTATTAGCATAGGAAACTTGTGGAGATTACACAATAACTTTTTTTAAAGTTGAAATGTTCATCTTTGAAAACTAGTTGACTTCGATGAACTAATTTATCTACAATTAAGTGAGTATACTAAAGTTAAGGAGAGAGCAAAAGTACCACATAGGAATTAAAATATTAAATGGAAACAATGCGAATTGCAGCGCAGCTTAGTACATAAACTAAAGAACTGCTTATTAAAAGGTGGGGAATTCTGGTTATGTTTATGCTGATTTGAAAATGATTGATTTGAGAATACATTGTTTTTTAGACCCATATAATACCAAATAACTCAGATAAACAACATTTTAAAAGACTTTACAATGCCATAGAAATGCCAATCAGTATTATCTATATTTATTTACTACGTGCCGATTTTAGATTCGCAAAGATAGTGATATTGTTGTGATCAATTTTAGTGATCTGCCAACCAACAATAATTCTGAGTAGTAAAAGATAACTGTCAGATTATAAGTGTGTAGCAAGTATAAATACACATGATTTATATCGACCACATACACTAAAATGAACTGTTATCTTCCATGGAATGTCCACTGTATCTGCACACATATCAAATACAAGTCCGATCGGATAGTGCCTGTAAGGTACAAAAATTGTAGAAAGAGAAAATCATTTAAATTAATCTGAAGATGCATAAAGAAAGTACTACGTATGGTTTTATGGTCGATATACCTAACTTCACAACTGACTTGTTAAGTGTGTTCATTTCTATCAATACGAGTGCATCAACTAATAGTATTCAAATTAAACACCCAACACTCAAGACTCATTTGATCACAGAATGGTTATTACTCAGACCATTTTTTGATAACTACCAATCATGAGATTGCACAAGTTATATAAACATGACTAATTCTCGTTACCGATTCATGTTGCAGTGACTCCGCTACAATTTCGTATGCGTGTGTCTATCGTTCTAATGCAATTGACTACAATTTTGCGTTATTGTACTAATTGTATTAATAGATATTTTAGAAACAAATTCTAATTGTTAGATAAATAGTTACCTGTTTTGATGACTATAACTCTGCTAAGACTCAGTGTGCGACAGCACGGGAATTTAATACAGAAATCCACCCGCAGGTAATTACTTCATACAAAATATACACATTCAAGTTTAATAGGAAAGCTAAACAATGTGAAATACTTAAATCTTTACAACGTTATATGATGTCCGGAAAATCACAGAGCAAACGAAGCAATTCGGGAAATATTTTGCAGTCATACAGCTACAAACACGTAGATTGTACAGGTGAACCATACGAAATAATTTATCATGGTTATCAGAACAGAGAAAAATGCTATCAAACTTCGACAGAAAAGACTTAATTAAAAAACGAATTAAGGAAAAAACAAGGAAACTATTAGTGAGATGTGTATACGTAACAGGAACCAACTTCTAATCATATTATGGTATACTTACCATTACTATCACTTACTAATACTTATTCATTATAATGGACACTACAAGACATTGGTTTTTGATATCCATGCAGATTATATGCAGATTGTCAGTGATTTCTGAGACCAATTTTTATACATCAGATTAACTTCCTGAGGCTCATTCTGTAATTTATTTGGGTTTTTATTATAAAACTAACATGGAATTAACCTCTTCATTCCGATCTCTCCGTTGATTGGGGATTTGAACCTTTTTAGATCAACAATATCACATAGTTTGTAACATTTATGAGACGGTGGTGACTAAAACGTTAAAGTGAATTCTTAATATTAGAATCTCTGGACTTTATCAGAGAGGAAAAATCAAACGCCTGGTGACCTATTCAGCGAACGCTTAACTTCTAGACCAGTGAGTTGGCATCCAAAGATGTCAATGTCTAACTTTAACCAATGCACGATGTTACGCGACCATCTTTCATTGTATTTGGTCGGTAACTGCCTCACACCCGACACGGTTGAACTCCACTGCTCACGGATTCTCACTAAAACTCCGAGAGTCCCATACTAGGACAAACGGCTGTCCAGTGCTTCCAGGTTTTTAATGGTGGTCTAACACTGATCAGTTCATGATTTCAAGGAAATTTGACAATCACCACAACCCCAAACTGAAGATATTAAGTTTCGTTGACTCATTTTTTCTTATGCTCTAATTACCGTTCGGTGTGTTATTTATATCACTCCTTTCCCCTGTTTAATAGACTGTAATAATTGTTTTTTGTATGCTAACAGTATTCATTTACGTTTCAGAGACAGATAAAGTTTATTAAGCCAAATAGCTTACATGTTCTAACTTTGATCAAACTAAGACTCAATGTTCGACAGTCTGGGGATTAATTTAGAATTGCGTCTGTAGGAAATTGATTCCTAAAGACAAACTACATTGAAGTCATACTTTTTTAGATCGTCAAGTGTTACAAGAAACTATACGTCTTGAAATAAAAGTAGTTGGTTTGGTCAAAGACAGTCATGGATCGTGCATCAATCAATTGGAGTTTTGATGCCTCAGTTAAAATGATTCACAAGTCAATTGGAAAATTTGTGGTTTAACTAATAATAAATAAGGTAGCAAATTTTTTAAACAATATTTCATACCATTTCAAGGGTTGATGAGCATATTCAAGCCAAAATTCGTGTATTAAAGGATGCTGTTTGAAAGTATCAATCTGATCGGATTGAGTATATTGCATTTCATGTTCTAATTTGCCCCGTGTCTCAGAGGTCATATCTTTGGATGCAGTCTTGAGTGCACATTCAGAAAACTGACTGAATTGTCTTATAACTTTTTCAGTAACCAATGGAAAATAAGAAACACGAGGAAGGAACATCTATAGGAGAGAAAAATTATTTCAAGACAAAAACATTTATATAAATTAAGCTTACTGACACAAAGCTGAAATGTATTAAAAAGTTGAGTAACAACTGGGAGAACTGACGTTCACAAATTGTATACTGATAAGGATATACTGGTATGCACTGCTGTAGACAACGTTGAATCATTTTTAGGTGGATATTAGCTTATGTAATTTTTATGATGTAATACAATAAGGATGTCATAAGGACAAAATGAGGCCTGAAAAATACAGTCCAAGTAAGAGCATAACAAAGATCAATATTGTTCAGCCACTAGGTGTATTTTGCAGTTCAGGAAGAATGTGATACAAACCAGGGCAGGATAGTCACTGGCTACTTAGTTAAGGCATTTTTGATAACGTTCGTAGCTATTTAGATTCATAATATCTAGAACCGAATTTTGAGTCGACATTCGATATAGCTGGGTTGAGAAAAACTGGAAATCTGATAATAATTTGAACCAATACACTAATTTATAAAACTTTTCAGTAAATCAATTATTAAAAGCTAATAACGACAGATAAAATTTCCTAATAAACTTCAAGTCTCCAACGAAGGCTGACATATATATATATATATATATATATATATATATATATATAAAACACGCGACTTATTTGATAGACTACAGAGTACTTATATTAGCTACTTGATTATAGTGTAAAACGCCTGTTCAAAAGTTTCAAATACTTTCGCCTTAAATAAAGAGAACCAACCGCTGAAGATATATAAACCAAAGATTTATGACAAATCAGTCTGAGAAATAACATTTCATAAACTCACATATATAGGCGGAGGAGCATGATCTTCATGCGCCAAATCCTCTTGTGCCAACGTAAAGCAAGCTGGAACCTTACCCTCCCAAACACGCTTCAAAATATTTGAATCTGTCATACAAGCGATGCAGCTGAAAAAAGTTAATAATACTGAAGTAATGTAATACTACTGATAATAAAACATAGCAAAAGTTTTATGAGTCTGTACACCACACAAGCGGTGCGCAATTAACAAAATCATTGAAAGACGGCTTTACTATTCTCTTCATATACACAAACTGATATGTCTTGGTTAAAGTATTTCGGATTTACTTCCCTTATGATATCATAATGAAAGCAGCTTAGTGGTTAAGACTTCCAACTTCTAGTCACTAATTCCCAGGTTAGAACCCTGACCAACATACTTCAGTCTAAAGAGCCGGATGCTGTCATTAGCCCTCACACTTAGAGTGTGGTTTATAGCCCAGTACCTGGTAGACGAGTCAGTTTTATTTTGAAGAGAAACATTTACAAGAATTGTCCCACAATAAATAAATCAAACCACACTTCTGTATTTAATGAGATGTGACAGAAACTTTAGATGGGCTAAAATGTTTAAATGGAAGATTTTAGTCCGTTTATTAGGCCATAAACTGGGTGCCGCATAATTCATGACTGATTGACTAGTAAATAGGAAAGCCTATTTGCATCGCTAACATGAAACTGAACATTAATACATGGCTGTAACGCTATAGTCATTTCTGGTGTACATTACTGACGTTCACGGCTACATTACAAATGACTTCTTATATCAGTTTAGATTTGTTATTTAGAACAATTTCATCAAATGAGGTCTTAGTAAGAAGTGTGAAGGTCACATATAAATTTCAAAAAAATCTTCACACATAAGTGGAAAAATAACATCATTCCAAATCTGAGACAAAAATTAATTCTATGCGCATTCTCTTAATCCTTGATATTGCAAACATAATTTACTGGAAATCTCGGTAACTGTAAAAGGCAGTTTTATTTATCCATCGGAAATAGTGTATACTGAGCAACAAATGTCTGAACAAACTTACATACTGCTGAGTGAATTCAAGTTGGGTGTGTTAGGGCTTGCAGCATCATCAACAGAAAGTCAAGAAACAAGGAAAGATGTGTAGTTTAGCAACGCCTAAACCATTTGGGAATTAAAAAATTGGTGCTTATCCAAGTGAAACATATTTCCCCATTCGTTTCAATCAAATTCATCGTAAAACCTTAATCGTAGTGCAGTGTTCCGCATACGGAAGGACATGGTTTCGGTCGTGCTGCTGTCTAACTGACCATGCTTATATGGTAAGATATAATAACCATTTCCTGGGTAAAAGTGGTTTGATTTTCCCTTAGAATAAGTGCTTCTACATAGTGCAAAAATGAATGGGAGAAGCATGCAATAAAATCAAAATTGTCAAGTACTATAAGGCTAAAACGTAAAAATGAATATAAGAGTATTTTATTGAACAAAATATAGTACAAAAGTCTTTAAAACGAATATCTCAAACGTGTCAACGTGGAGAGCGTGAATACCTTCCACATGTACTCGCTCCTTCTGCAAATTTAAAATAAGGTGTTTGGTTCATAACTCCAACCCACTGATCTCACACAGAGCATGAATGAAGCGAGATCTGTTTTACTTGACCAAACGTTTAAGGTTAAACGTCAATATTGCTATGTGAGTCATCACTACTTTCATAGGTCACCAGTTCGACAGAACTATCTGTCACGTGATTACAAAAGCGATTAGGAGTTGAAAGAGAGGATTCATTTTCTTCAATTCCAGAGTCCCCAGACTTGTTAATTAGTTTCTTACTTTTACAGGGACGATAGATAATCAAATCCATCGACATCCTTGGAGTCTTTTTTAACGTTGATATAGTTGACTTTTTGATGTTATCAGCTTTCGATGCACTTTTGGCTTTAGAAGCTGGCACATGTGAGTTTCTATTACGAATGAGAGACGTAGAATTCAAAGGATTTGCGGTTATATCTGAAGGTTAAAAAAAGGTTGGAAGTACAATACACCAAATACTTATAAAGTTGAGGATATTCATAAGTGAAACGAACTTTGACTACTCTAGGGTGCACGTGGATTTCGAAACCACTCGCCATGACTTCGGTAGAACAAAGGAAATTTCATGATGTACTTAACATTCGTGCTCTCATTATTAAACTATGAACAGATAGATATATAATTATAAATTTTACTCGTTAATGGGACGAAATTTATAAAAAGAAGTCTGAGATTGCAATCCAGACTATTTATAATGATATTTTTATAAAAATCAGTGTCACGCAGCTGTAATATCACATAAACCGGTTAATATTGGGTTGAGGAGTAAAGACATTAGAAGTGATAGTCGATAAGAACAACTTTGATAATCGGGCCTAATGTGATGAAGAAGAGGTGTTTATGGTCACGGAAAGCCGTTTATAATCAGCACTAAAATTTACTTTACGCCAAGTACTGTACTACATTGTGGGTCCGACACAATAGTGTAAAATGTCGACCAAAATAAATAAGGTAAGGATATTCCAATAGGATCTTGAACACTAATTGTTGCTCACAATTTAGTACGGGTAGAAATAATTGGTGACAGAATTATGTTCAACTAAAGTCTACTCTCAAACTCCACAGAATGAAGTAGATGGGACCAAATCTCAACCTCTAACCCAATGGTTATAAATTATGTTTGTCTACCACGGATGTGAAGCGTTTTAAAACCTGGAAACATTTTCATACCAAACTTTTAAAGTCTAACTAACAGCATTATACAAGATTAGGTTTAATTGAAAGAAACGTTCAGTAGGTTATAATACTTCACAAGGTTTGAACCCACTCGAAAACTTGACCTATGTTTGGAACCCAGTAAACGACGAGCCACTGTAGAGTTGCGTAGACTGAACCACAGCTCCACGATTTATAAATTTAGTACATAAAAACTATACACAGGTACATACTTCTGACCTGTTCGGGAAGTGCGAAAATAAGACTGATATTAGTGAGAAATTTTTAATATACCCACAAAACATTAGAATAACGCACATGCTTATACACATAGTCTATAGTTGATCTTGGAAATGGACCTAAAAGTATTGTATTCACCGATACTCGAAAGTCATGGATGCGAATTACAAGAGATTTCCTAGCAAAAATTAGATAGACATCTAGTGCTCCCCGATTTCCAGGTGGTCACTTCGTACTGAAAAATGATTCATATTAATCAAAATATGGGAGGTAAACAAGATTTTAGTTGACTGGTCGCTATCTGCTTCAAGTCAGAACAACTGAAATGACGGAGAACTTGCTACGTAGTGTGGTATGATTAGTTGACTGTAAGCAAGTTTAAAAGCGAAGTAAGAATCAGATAATTTTAAAAAAATAAGGAAAATAAGAACTGTGATTTAAATACCGCTGCATCGAACGATTGTATATTTTCGGATTCATTAAATTCAAATATTAGTAGTAAAACTTCCAGGATATATTGGTATATGGATATATTTACATCCATTTACGTAAAATACAAATAATACGTGAAGTGGCTAAGTTCAATGCAATTAATGCAAACATTACTTTGTCACGCTTCAGGTTTTGAACATATTATTATTAACATAGCACCCGTATATTTACCGTCTTCACCTGGTTTACTGTTGACAAAATTGATCCCTATTTTACAAGCAGCGTAAAGAGCGAAGAAATGATTAGGTAATTCACCGGTTTTATAGATCGGATTCCAAACACTGAGTTGCGGCCTAAAAACCATCCCCCAAATACTTCGGTTTGGGCAAACAATCAGCAAGCGCAAATATGTAACTGGTTATGATATAGCGAGGAGCAAGTCTGACAATTATTTATTAATTTTACAGGCTAGTGAATGACCCACGAAATATAAACCCTACAATTATTGATGTTTTTTAAATTTATTTTAATTGTTCATATTAGCGCTAAAAATTTTGGATATAACTGTGTAATTTCGGAATATAAAACTGTGCAGTTTTGGTGACCATTTATTTTGTCATCTGATATCCGTTCATTGAAGCGCTTAGACCAACACTTCAGATTAGTGAAAATAATGGTCACCTGGTTATGATCTCTCTTATTAAAATCCAGCTATTCCTATTACGTAGTATTTTTAGGACACTTTACTTCACCCGATAAATCCCTAAATCAAAATATGGGTGGGGTGGAACGTATATTTCAAATAAACAAAGGTTGAGTGGAAGTAGGAATTGTTATAAGAAAAACGTTATTGTATTTATTTATACAAGAAGATTCTAGAGTCCTCTCTAAGTATCCACTAGCGCTGGTTGGCTCAGAAATGGCCAATGACCACGCCCCAACACAATCCTGTACGGAACATACTTAAAACCAATCCACATTACGCTAACAATACCTACTGTAACTGATTAATAATTTGCATTATTATTATTTCAATTACATTTTTCAACAGCACACAACAAATAAACGTGTTACATACATTATATGGGAACTTATAAACGATGGATATGGTTCATATTAAAAAAACTTACTACGTTTCGAATGTGTAAGGAACATAACTTTTGCCATAGTTGAGTCGTCCTCAGTTTCAGGAAGAAGTTCAACGTGAGACCCAGTTAGTGACAAGCGGTTTAAGAGAGAGTTATCTCTGACCAATTTTTCCTCAGATTGCTTTTTGGCTTCCTAAAGTAAAAAAGTTTATGAGTTGAAAGCAACTAAGAAAAAATTCACTGAATAAAGTAATTTGGAATTTCGTTTCGTTTACGGCCAATGAAACATATATAGAGAGAACTGATAGAGGACAAATTGAATACAATTATCAAAAGTCAGAACTCCAAAAGCAGGAAGGTAATCTGACAGTTTATTAGTTACTAAGATAAAAGATCTAAGGATAATATTGTCCGTACTTTACGTTGTTCACTTCTAATTTTGCACAACTGACCTACGAAAATTTACAGGCCAGTATACTTACTAACATACACCTGATGCCCCTCGTGGATAGGCTTAGGCCACATAAGAGCACTATCCATCGAACACTAAAATGGGTGATTCTTTCGAGATGCTACTTAATCTTTTGATGTCTCTTTACGACTACCGACTTTGACATGCATCTTTTCTGCTTCTCTTCCCATTGTCTACGTCGACACCTACTGTTTTGGAGGCTGCTGATAGTCAGTATATTAGCAGTCCTAAACTTCATTTGGGATAGAAGAGCTAGGTCATCTGCGAATTCCAAATCGTCTAGTTGCATGTAAGCTGTACAGTGTATTCTATGATTCCCCTCTGATGTCGAGGTCTTCATATTTCAGTCGACCACCAGAAAAAAAGAAAGGCTGAGAATAAGCAGCCTTGTCTGACTCTAGTCCTCACTTGGGATGGATCTATCAGATACCCTCCATGAACGACTTCGCAGTGTAGTCCGTTTTATGAATTCCGTATGATATTTACGATCTTCACAGGTACACCACAATGTCGAAGACAGTTCCACAAGGTCATCCTATCCATACTGTCAAACACTTCCTCAGAGTCAATGAAGTTGATGTATAGTGACGAGTTCCACTCAGCTGATTGTTCAACGGTGATCCATAGTATCGCACTTTGTCAGTGCACGATCGATCCTTATGGAATCCGGTCTGTTGATCTCGAAGTTGGACATCTACTGAATCTTCCATCCGGTTTAGCAACACTCTTTTGAAAACTTTTGCTGGTACTGATAGTAGAGTCACGACTTTGTAGTCCTCACATTTGCTCAGATCTCCTTCCTTTGATATCTTGATGAGGTATCCTTCTCTCCAGTTTGTCAACACTTGTTCGTCCTCCCAAATCTTGTTGAATAGAACGTAGAGCATGTTTGCAGTTGCTACTAAATCTCACTTCAGTGCTTCGGCTAGTACGTTGTCAGATCCTGTTGTCTTCCGACTCTTGACTTGTCTGATGGCCATCCTGATTTATTCGATCGTTCAGTCAGTCAGTAACAACGTAGAACTTCTTACATTCGTACATCAGTTCGAGTTGCCATACCACATTAGCACAGAGATGCAGTTGTCGATTCAAATCCCATTGTGGTAGAGGTAGTAAGAGTATAAGCAGTAGTCGGAAAGATTAGGGTTTGGAGATGTTATTTAAGGAGTATAATCCAGTGAAATAAATTTGGGAAGAGAAAAGAAAGAGACAAGGAGGAATCAGGAGATTAGAATTTGGGAGAACACAAAGAGTGGATGCACCTGCGCCATTGCAAACGATTTTGAGCCATGTCACCATCGGTTGCTATCACCTCGCGGTCCCCAACCAGGTAGTCTACACCTACCAACATGACTCAGTCCACTTGTCAGTGACTTCATGGATTTGTGCCATGTTTTGGTCTGGCCGCTCCTAGCTTTCGCCCAACCTACTCCTATACCACTGAACATCTCACATCGAGGCAGTCGGTCGTTGGGCATACGTAACATGTGTCCCAGACATCTCAACTGATGTAGTTTCACCACTTCATCAATCGATTTGCCATCCTTACCTAGTACCCGTTTCCTAACAACTGCGTTACTTACTCGATGGTCCCATGATATACGAGCAATGCTTCGAAGACACCTATGATCAAATACTAGTAATTTAGGAATATCCTCTACTCTTACCCGCCATGTTTCACAGCCATGAAGTAGGATGGAACGAACTGCTGTGCAGTAAACACGTCCTTTGGTTGATAGACAGATATCTCGCCTACGCCATAAATGACGCAAGTTGGTAAGAGCTAGTCGAGCCTTCTGTATCCGTGCTGAGATTTCGTCACACACCAGACCACAAGGGCTGATGAGACTTCCAAGATAAGTGAAGCGATCGACACGCTCAATTACTTCACTCCCTATCATTAGTTCGGGTGTCGATGCAACCCAATCCTGAAGCAACATTTTGCATTTCGAGAGGGAGAATCGGATGCCGAACATGCTTGCATTGTTGCTTAGAGTGGTCAGAAGACTCGGCATTTTGTCAGCGTCTTCACCAAATAGAACTATGTCATCGGCATATTCCAAGTCAACAAGTGACATTCGCTATGTGTTTTGAATTTCTCTTTTCTTGTTCTGTTGTTGTTAATTGTTGTCTTCTTGTTCTTCCTTTCTTGAATCCTGTCCAGGGTTTCCATAGAGATCCATTCCTTATGATGATGCTTCTTGCGACGCAGAACCTTCTGACATGTTGAAGTTAAAACTTACTTAGCCCCTTAACAGTTGTCCTCCATAACAGTTTCTTCGTTCAGTAGATCCTATAAGGCTTGGAGTCTGATGATGAGAGTTATCTTGAATTCGTTGGGTTTGTCAGTATCTCAAAGGAAGGCTGTATTGAAACTTTATAATGCTGTTTCCCAAGTTTCCCGGTGTTTCTTTAGCTTCAGTTTCATCTCGGCAATCTATTGTGGGGGCTGAAACATCTGAAAAATACACAGATGATGTAGTTCTCTTTAGTGAAGACTGATAAAATGAAGTCTTCTAGCCACCTTAAGCAATAATGCAAGTATGTCTGAGGTGCAGTTCTATCCCTCCAAATGTAAAATATTACTTCAGGATTGGATTGTCACCCCCTAAATTACTGATAAGGAATAGATTAGTTGAACATATCGATCAATTCACTTATCTTGGGAGTCTCATCAGTGCTGATGTTCTGATTTCTGACGAAATGTCGGTACGGGTTCAGAATGCTCGATTGGCTTTTTCTAACTTGCGTCACTTGTAGTGTAGGCGAGATATCTGTCATCCAGCCAAAAGGTGAGTTTACTGCACAACAGTTCGCTCCGTTCGGTTTTATGGATGTGAAACATGGCCATTAATAGTAGAGGATATTCACAGGTTACTGGTATTTAATCACAGGTGTCTATGAAGCAATGCTCGCACATTTTGGGACCATAGAGTAAGTAATGCCTGGTTAAAAACCAAGTACTAAGTAAAGACGGGAAATCGATAGATGAGTATTAAATCTTTATCAACTGAGGTGATCGGGATGTGTTATGTATAACCAACCATCGCCTACCTCGGTGGACGATGTTTTCTGGTGCAGGAGTAGGCTGGAAGAAAGTTAGGGGTGGTCAAACCGATACGCGGCGTCAGTTTATGAATTCACAGAAGATTGGACTAAGCCATTTTAGTAAATGCCGACAACCAGGTTTGGGTCTGCGTGATTATCGTAACCAATGGTTACAAATTCTGAATAAAAATGCTCAAAATTGTCTCCAGTGGTGTAGGTAGATCCATTCCTTGTCTTCCACCAAATTCTGAGACACTAAATTCCTCATCACTCTTTTTTGTTTTTGTCTCACTAATTTATATTTTCTTTTCGAGTCGTATCTTTGATGCCTAATCTCTCCTATTACGACTGATACTATCTATACTGATTTGGGACTTGACCTGACCTGAGATCTCTGTGCTAATCGGGTATGGCAACCTGAATTGACGTACATAGGTACAAGTCCCACGTTGTAACTCATTGATTTTACTTGTCCTTAAAGTCGGAGCTTTCAAGGAATCAGTCAGTCAGTTACAACGTAGAACCAGACACATGCATGCATCGGTACAAGTTGCTACACCTCATTAGCACAGCAAGACGAAAACCGGATTCATAGAAAAAGTTAACTAAATGGTGTAATAAATAAAAGAAAGATTTTATGTAAGGATATAGTATAGAAAGAAAGATATGAAATAATTTTAATCTCATAGTTTAAGGGAAAAAAGAAAGTGTATACACCGACGCCATTGTGACCGATTCTGAGCCATGTCACCAAGAGTCTCCAACCATTGGTTACGGAAGTCACGCGGACCCCAACCAAATAGCCTGCATCTACTAACATGGCTCAGACTAGAGGTTAGTGACTTCAAGCACTGATGCCATTTTCTAAATTTGGCCACCCCTAACTTTCTTCCAACCAGCATTGCGCGTCGTGGTAATCGGTGTTCAGGCATATGTAACACATGGCCCAAACGTCTCAGTCGATGAAGATTTACAGCCTCATCAACGGATCTACCATCATTCCCTAATACCCTGTGTCTAACTTCACTATTACTTACCCGATGATCCTAGCAGATGCGAGCAATATTTCTAAGGCATCTGTGGTCAAATACTAGTAGCTTACAAGTATCTTCTACTCTTAACGACCATATTTCGTAGCCGTATATTAGAACAGAACGAACTGTTGTGTAGTATATCCGTCCACTATTCGGCAGTCAGATATCTCGCCTTTGCCATAGGCGACGTAAGTTGGCAAAAGCCAAACGAGCACTCTGGATCCGTACAGATATTTCGTCAGACACCAACTCATTAGGACTAATCAGACTTCCAAGATAAGTGAAGTTGTCGACGCGTTCGACTACTTCATTCCCTATCCTTAGTCCAGGTGTTGACACAGACCAGTCCTTGAGCAACAACTTTCATTTAGAGGTGATGAAACGCATCCCAAACAGCCTGGCATTGTTGTTTAACCTATATCTGACTTGTTTTCGTTTTTCATCGTGTTCGGATCAAAATTTGATGAGTTTACGAGAATCTATCAGTGCAGTAGACCTAGAAGAAATCTATTGGTTCTTTGTAACCCTTTGGTTTAAATCACTGACATATTTCACTGCTGTTTCCACAGCTGATTGCATATCTTTTCAAGCAACATCTGGGTCAGCCTCGTTCTCAGAACTACCTAAATGATACCTCAGTGGTTCGGCCTTTTCGTCACTCAATTCAATCCTAATGGGTTTTCTTAATGTGGCTTTCCTGCGTCCAGTGCGGCGCAAGCAGATGCGTGCCCGTATTATGGCGTGGTCGGAGTCCAAGCAGGTATCCCAAAACGAGCGACAATCTCCTATCGACCCTCTCCAAAGATGACTGATGGCAATATGATCTATTTGAGTCCACCGTTGGTTTGGTGCAGGAGATCGCCAGGTTAGGCGATGTCTCTCCTTATGCTTAGAATTTGTACTTGCCAAAAGCAAACGATTGTCTGAGCACAGTTGCGGCAGACGATCACCATTATCTGTTCGCTGAGCCGTGATACTAAAATACCCACCTAAATGGTAGAAATGACGAAAAGACAATGACGTGTGTCCCTATCCTTCCGAATTCCTACTCAGCCGTTTAGCCGAACAGCACATAGACGACTGTTAACGGGAATCAACTCTAATAGTGCTTTTTCTGCCCTCGCACTTAGTGCTATGCCTATACCTGCCAGTCGAAGAGAACCAACCATCGGGTCGCCAGATACACTGAGGGTGTATCTCGTCCGATATCCGTTTTGGTGAGGTGAGGTCAAGTGAATGACCACACTGGAATCCTGTATGTGTGTTTCGGACACAGCATACATCAATGGTAAGAGATTCTAGGGTTTTAGCCAAGGAAGCCTGCTGACCGATTTGACATAGGGTTCGTACTTTGAAGGCTCCAATGTGTAGTTTGGAGCGAGGTTTCAGTAGACCTGGGACAGTGTTTTGAGCACTAGAATCGTTGGCCAGGGTGACACTTGAGGAGGAAGCCGAAAGAGGAAGTTTGGGGTTGAAAGTCGAGGTGGGAGGAATGATAGGAATTGAAGAGGGAGATTGATTATGAATACAGTGGTCTTTAAGTGCTGTTAGAGGTATGAGGGCGGTTATCACTTCCCGGTTGCCCACACCGTGGAAGGGTTCTTCTGGAGGTACCTGAAAAGGAAATCGGATTAGAGGTGGTCTTAGTGACCTGAGAGCGTAACCGCAGTACCCAAGGGACAACTGCTTGAGGTCGGTCACACACGACCATTTTGTGAGTAATTTTCGTGTTAGCTCCGTGTTTGTTGAGACCTTACCACCGGAGACGGTTATCCGTAGGATAAGGCGAGGTGTGCATTTTTAGGGTCGACCTTTTCTAACCCCACCCCTCCTTGTGGGAAGGCAGCATCGCTGTCATGCTGGTTGTCTGAAGGAAACACCTTACTGCTGTCACACCTCTGTACAGTCAGCAGTACGACTTCGCCTTCGGACCTTGGGTTTGTTGCTTTCAGTCTTACCGCTCTTCAACCGACCTGTCTGACACGGTAGGACCTTGAGGAACGGTTGTTCCAGCCAGTATAGCTCGGTTGCTTCATCATGATAGGCAATGTCTCGGAAGTGACTCGTGATTTAATCTTCGCTGGGATATAACAGTTAGCATTGGTGGCGTGTGGTGACAAATATATGCGAGAAGGGTCGTGGGGATAGGGGAAATATTAAAAATTGAGAGAAGGATTTGACCGTGAACACGATGATTTCGGGTGCTCTTAGAGATATGAGGATGGTCGTCGCTTCCCGGCTGCTCATACCGTGGAAGGGTTCTTCTGGAGGTACCTGAAAAGGAAATCGGATTAGAGGTGGTCTTAGTGACCTGAGAGCGTAACCGCAGTACCCAAGGGACAACTGCTTGAGGTCGGTCACACACGACCATTTTGTGAGTAATTTTCGTGTTAGCTCCGTGTTTGTTGAGACCTTACCACCGGAGACGGTTATCCGTGAGATAAGGCGAGGTCTGCATTTTTGGGGTCGACTTTTCAAACTCCAGCCCTCCTTGTGGGAAGGCAGCATCGCTGTCATGCTGGTTGTCTGAAGGAAACACCTTACTGCTGTCACACCTCTGTACAGTCAGCAGTACGACTTCGCCTTCGGACCTTGGGTTTGTTGCTTTCAGTCTTACCGCTCTTCAACCGACCTGTCTGACACGGTAGGACCTTGAGGAACGGTTGTTCCAGCCAGTATAGCTCGGTTGCTTCATCATGATAGGCAATGTCTCGGAAGTGACTCGTGATTTAATCTTCGCTGGGATATAACAGTTAGCATTGGTGGCGTGTGGTGACAAATATATGCGAGAAGGGTCGTGGGGATAGGGGAAATATTAAAAATTGAGAGAAGGATTTGACCGTGAACACGATGATTTCGGGTGCTCTTAGAGATATGAGGATGGTCGTCGCTTCCCGGTTGCTCATACCGTGGAAGGGTTCTTCTGGAGGTACCTGAAAAGGAAATCGGATTAGAGGTGGTCTTAGTGACCTGAGAGCGTAACCGCAGTACCCAAGGGACAACTGCTTGAGGTCGGTCACACACGACCATTTTGTGAGTAATTTTCGTGTTAGCTCCGTGTTTGTTGAGACCTTACCACCGGAGACGGTTATCCGTGAGATAAGGCGAGGTCTGCATTTTTGGGGTCGACTTTTCAAACTCCAGCCCTCCTTGTGGGAAGGCAGCATCGCTGTCATGATGGTTGTCTAAAGGAAATACCTTACTGCCGTCACACCTATATAGAGTCAGCAGTACGATTTCGCATTCGAACCTTGGATTTGTTGCTTTTAGTCTTACCGCTCATCAATCGACCTGTCAGGCACGTAGGACTTTGAGGATCGATTGTTCCAGCCAGTACAGCTCGATTAGTTCAGTACGACAGGCAACCCTGACCACCACATCAAGGTAGCAGCAACGGTCAGGATTGGAGCCTCTCGTAAAACTGATCTTTATCGTCGTCATTGCTACCATTGGTGGGTGCATAACACTGAAGAACATTCATTGTAATTCCCTCCTTCGTTTTGAACGATGCTTTGATGATCCTAGATTCATGAGATTCCCACCCAATAAATGCATTTCGAGCATTTTTGACAGCATCAGAGCAAGTCCCTAAGTGTGGTGTACTTTCCTTCTCGTGACCGGAGTACAGAAGCATCTCTTCCGTACCTAACCTTTGATGTCCAGTTTGGATCCAAAGTATTTCACTTATTTCGAGTACCGCCAATTTGTATCTCCTGATTTTCGTAGATATCGGCCTCATGATTTCCGGAAAATCTCGGCGTCATAATTCTTCCTTCAAGTCCCAGGAGAGAGTTTAAATGGTTTAATTTGTTCATTCTGGTTAGCGTTTTTCAACAAGGTTTTTTCTACAGGATGGGGTTGCCAAACGCATGCCCAACACTGCTCCTTCACCCAGGCTTGGGACCAGCAGTAACTCTAGGACTTACAGGCGGAGTTGGGTCAGTATACTATGATTATAATAATGAAAAGCATAACGACCTGAAAGACATTTTAAAAAAATAACACAAAGCATACACGAAACTTTTTACGAGCAATTTGATTCAAAGTAAAGTCATCTTCGTGTCTCAAACGATCAATCTGGACTTCTTGAATTGCTGGTATGATCTCACTTGCTTTCCTCTTGTCAGTTACATTGTGCTCCAAATGATACATGGCATCAGTAGCGAGCTGCTTCTTTTCAGAGTGATCTACAAATCACAGAGAAATACACCTAGATTATTTTGACGACAGAAGGTACTAGCTAGCAAACATAAGCAGTACAGTTTGTATTTCAGATGAAAAGTTTAAAAAATATCTAATGCTAAATAACAGTTTAACAACAGTAAATGGTGAACTCTTATTCAGTTAAACTTAACTGAGAAACGACTGTCGTTTCCAGTGATCTTTATTTATTTGAACACGTTCATTTTTATGAAGAGAGTAAAAGAAAGTTACAGCAGGATCGCCACCGACTTCTATTCTGAGCCATGTCCGATGTTCATCTTGTTGTGTTAGTGAGGTATGGCAAATGGACCGATGCATAAATGTGCTTGGTCCTACGATGTAGCTGACTGATTGATGTCCGATAAAATCTCAAGCCACTGTGTTGCACCATATCTGGCACCCCAACCAGGGAGTCGTGAAGAACCGACAGAAGCCAGTTCTGTAAAGCTTCCTTTCATACCACGACACCATGTCATCCACTGACCACCTCTCCGCTTCTTCCAACCAGTCCCAGAGTCGGAAAATAATGCACGACGTGGAATTCTCTGTGACGACATTCGTAGGACATGTCCAAGCCACCGAAGTCGGTGTTTCAAGATGATGAAACCAATTGAACTATCGTCTGTGCGCCCGAACACACGATGCCGAACCTTTTCATTACTGACATGGTGTCGCCACTGGATGTCAGCAATCCTTCGGAGACAACGATGATCAAACACAGAGAGACGTCTAACATCCTCAACTCGGAGAGGCCAGGTTTCATAAGCATAGAGCAGAACTTCTCTCACCGACGCGTTGTAGGCGCAGAAGATGGTCCAGATTGGCATAAGCCGCTCTGGCTTTTGCTATACGTGGATTGATCTGATCACTCACGCCACCACCAGCACTTAAGCAGCTACCTAGATAGACGAACTTCTCGACTACTTCTATCTGCTCACTACCCAGGGCGAGTAAAGGATCGGATTCCTGCCAGTCTTGTAAAAGTACTTTGCACTTCGAAAGTACAAAGTAAATACCATAACTACGGACACTATATCACGTCCATTAACTACTCCCTTTTATTCTCATACCAGTGATATCAATTAATGACGTCTGATATTCAGAATGAACTTATATTTTTAAAATTTAAGTGCGGAATTTTCACTGAAATCTCGGTCTGAAGTAGACATTAATAAGTTGTTTTACTCACCAATATTTTAAATTCAAAAAAATATAAAAATGGATAAGAAATGAAACAACGTCGAACCTTGTACAGAAATCCATCGAAGTATATCATCAAAATAAAGTTTGGAAGAAATGTGAGTTAGCCCGAGTTACCTTATCCAGTATGCACAATGAGATGAAAATAACAAAGGTGAGTGAAATAATATCGTAGCGAAGATAACATGAAAGACAAAACCTAGAGAATATAATTTGAATAGACAGTGGGAAGGTAATCATTACAAGACGCCGTAATTAAAGATCGTGGAGGAGAAAAATTGGTTATATCTGGGCAAATGTAGAGAATCCTGACACATCAACAAAAACTTTCAAATTATCGGAGTAGGGTTGTAGAGATCGTTAAGCTTTTGACTGAGATCATGAATCAAGGAATGTTAGACTACCAATGAAAATCTGGAAGGACTGGACGGCCGTTTCATACTAGTACGGGACTCCTCAGCAGTTCGCACCCACAATCACGCAGGCGAGATTCAAAACCACGAAATTCGATGTCACGCGCAAATGCATCAACTCTAGACCATTGAGCCTGCATCCAACGGTGATAATGTCTAGCCTCAACCAATCCATGAAACTGCGCGAGCATCTTCCATTGTCTGAGGTAGATACCTGTCTCTAACTGATACGGATTAACTGAATACAACTAATAATAAGTAGGATCGTACAGGTGAACCATACGAAATAATTTATCATGGTTATCAGAACAGAGAAAAATGCTACCAAACTTCGACAGAAAAGACTTAATTAAAAAACGAATTAAGGAAAAAACAAGGAAACTATTAGTGAGATGTGTATACGTAACAGGAACCAACTTCTAATCATATTATGGTATACTTACCATTACTATCACTTACTAATACTTATTCATTATAATGGACACTACAAGACATTGGTTTTTGATATCCATGCAGATTATATGCAGATTGTCAGTGATTTCTGAGACCAATTTTTATACATCAGATTAACTTCCTGAGGCTCATTCTGTAATTTATTTGGGTTTTTATTATAAAACTAACATGGAATTAACCTCTTCATTCCGATCTCTCCGTTGATTGGGGATTTGAACCTTTTTAGATCAACAATATCACATAGTTTGTAACATTTATGAGACGGTGGTGACTAAAACGTTAAAGTGAATTCTTAATATTAGAATCTCTGGACTTTATCAGAGAGGAAAAATCAAACGCCTGGTGACCTATTCAGCGAACGCTTAACTTCTAGACCAGTGAGTTGGCATCCAAAGATGTCAATGTCTAACTTTAACCAATGCACGATGTTACGCGACCATCTTTCATTGTATTTGGTCGGTAACTGCCTCACACCCGACACGGTTGAACTCCACTGCTCACGGATTCTCACTAAAACTCCGAGAGTCCCATACTAGGACAAACGGCTGTCCAGTGCTTCCAGGTTTTTAATGGTGGTCTAACACTGATCAGTTCATGATTTCAAGGAAATTTGACAATCACCACAACCCCAAACTGAAGATATTAAGTTTCGTTGACTCATTTTTTCTTATGCTCTAATTACCGTTCGGTATGTTATTTATATCACTCCTTTCCCCTGTTTAATAGACTGTAATAATTATTTTTTGTATGCTAACAGTATTCATTTACGTTTCAGAGACAGATAAAGTTTATTAAGCCAAATAGCTTACATGTTCTAACTTTGATCAAACTAAGACTCAATGTTCGACAGTCTGGGGATTAATTTAGAATTGCGTCTGTAGGAAATTAATTCCTACAAAGTTTTGATCAGTGAATCGATACACTTACTGAAATGACTTCCAATAAATACTACTATTTCGATGAGATTCCAGAGTTGTCACCTCATCGTCTGCGAGATTATAATGAAGACCAATTTGAAAGGAATGAACTCATAACGAACCACCTGATATAATTCGAGTTAGCTAGGTTACGTGTAGTTCAGTTGGAGAGAGAAATAATTGAATTAGAGAGGTTACATCATCATGAAGGGGAAAGTTCCGATCAATCAATAACTGATAATGACAGTAATATTAAAAAATCTATATTTACTAAAGAAGGAAATCCTGAGGTTCAACGACACACCTGCAAATTACTGGAATTTCACAAGAAGTTTCAAGGAATTCATCGTTAATAAGAAAAGTGGATTTAGAGAGAAGCTAAATTACCTTATCCGAAATTGCGATGGGGAAGCAAAGACAGTCATACCATACTGTGCCTCACTAAGATCGGAAATTGGCTACCGTAAAGTTCTAGAAATACTAATCGAAGAATTCGGTCAAAAACACATCACAGTAAGGACGTTTATTGATGAGCTATTAAGCTTTCCCAGTATTAAAGGAAATTATTCAGACACCTTGAAGAAGCTATATTGAGAGATGACGATGCGTGAGTTAACTCTAAAGCAGATGAACTACATTTCAGGACTATAGAAGATATAATCTTAAAACTCCCAGTGCAAACGCAGCATTATTGGGCTAAAGAAACCTGTGGGATTGTTAAAAACGACCGAGAACCCACATATATTGATATTAGGCATTCGTGAAGGAGCAATCCGATATACAGGTTTCATGGTGACAGACGCTCAACCAGTCGTGATAACACAGATCATTGGACTGTGAAAAGACAGTTTACTACAGAGTATAAGAGGCTGGAATAACATATGCCGATATTTTTAAGAATAAAGCTAGTTCGCTTAGAAAAACTAGCCTCTTTGCGAAATCATGTTATGTTCAAAAGCCAATTTACAAGACCAGTGTCCAAAATTCACAGCTCAAGATGTTGATAAGAAAGTAGAATTCTCTTTAAAAAGTAAGTAATGTGAAATCTGATTAAAGATAAACCACCAAGCTAAAAATTGTCGGTTGTCAAAGGAATGAGAGATCAAGGGATGTGGTTAGTGACACCACACACGAATCTATAAGAAATATAAGGGATGAACAGGGACCACCAATGCCATCCAAATCAATACTCATTACTGCAGGGAAATCAACGAAGCTGAAATGTGCAAAAATTATGCACGGGAAGAAATCGCTTACTTACATACACCTGTTAGCCCTCGTGGCAGCATACGCCGCCGACCAGGATTCTCCAACCAACCTGAAAGAAGGGAGACAGTGGGCAACTCTGGAAAATACCACCTAAGGTTGGAAATCCCAGTGACAGTTCGCTATGTCCTCTAGGTTAACAGTCGAATGATGCCTTAAGGTTAAGGAATATCATTAAAGTCGAGGGTCTGTAAGCATGCTTGTGTTCTAAAAACTGATGAAGTGTGGATATTCGGGCTACACATCCACGTCCATGTCTAAAACCGACCGGGCCTTCCCAAGTTCGCTGTTCACGAGCCCCATATAACCGTTAAAAGATAATTGAGGCTAATACTTGAGACACTATTTTAGTCAAACTGATCCTCTGTGATTACCATAAACTGAAATGATTAGTGATTGTGACGAGTCAAACGGAATTACGTCTGCGCCCAAAGTTCTAGCTGAGATCTTATTCAACATAAACGCTAAAACTAGGGCTAAGCCATCAGGTCCTGTCGCTTGGCATACTTTTTATTTGTTTTCGTTTGAGCTGTCGTCGATCTTCATCGTTTTCCGAGCTTATTGGGATGAGCTTTTACACCCAAATCAATTAGGTAAATGTTACTGAAATCCACTTATCTTTCCTAACTTTTGACATATATACCGTTAATGGTGTCGCTGGTGTCTGCATATCTTTCCAAGATTTTTCAGGATGAATAAGTGGTTGACTAATTGTTCCCTGCAACACTGACATAAGCATCTTCAAATTGACATCAGAAGGGTTTACCTGCTTCGACTTTCCCCATCGAGTAAGATGGATAGAAATCAGTGCTCTCACTAAGACATGATCGGAGTCCAAATATGCACTCCAGTAGAAGCGGCAGTTTTCTACCGAATATGACTGACGGCGATATGATTTGTTTGTGCTAATCGTTATGTTGGAAGTCCGCAGGTTAGACAGTGTCTTTCTTTATACTTAAAATTCCTACTTACGGTGAATAATCTGTTGTCTGAGAGAAATTACAGCAGACAGTTACCGATAACTAACTGTTAGGCCGGGACGCCACAATACCCAAATGAGGTGGGAAGAAGATGAACACGAATGCAAAATTAACGAGAAATATATGAGTAAACAGGGATGCAAATAAATAATAATTTGCTTACAGACAAGCTAATAATAGTGAGTATCTAATTTATACTGTGACAGATTTTTAAGCTGACAGTAATTCTCCAAATACCAAATCCTATGATTTTGAGAATTATTATCGGAAAATCGACATTTCCATACACACTTCGAACATACAGATAATGACTTCATAAAATGATGATCGGTTTACCTACTGCACTTCGTTACTTAAGCTTATAACCCTTCGTGAGAGCATACATCGCCAACCAGGATTCTCCAATTAACTCTGTCCTGGGCAGTCCTTTGCAGTTCTTCCCGATCGCTATTCATTCTTCTGATGCCTGCCTCCAATTCCCAACGAAATGTGTTCCTTGGTCCTCTTCTTTCCGTTTTACCTCCAGGATTTTGAGTTACGGCTAGCCTCGTGACGCAGTTTGATCTCCGTAATGTATGTCCTATCCATCTTCAGCATCTTTTCCCAACTTCCTCCTCAGCTGGAAGTTGGTTTGTTCTCTCCTATAGTAGGTTGTTGCTGATGGTATCCGGCCAACGAACACTGAGTAGCTTGTTCACAAATAACTGCGCTTTTTGGTGATGGTTATAGTAGTTCTCTAGATCTCAGCTCTGTACAGTAGATGTCTTGACGTTCGTTATGAATATTCTGACTTGGATATTGATTGACAGTTGTTTTGAGTTCTATATAATCTATAATTGCAGGAATTTATTGTTTACCGAATTACTTGAATACACAAACATTGGTACAATAGGGCACCAAATATAAATGCGCCACACAATAACAATCAGGCCAGTAGTAGTTATCATTGAGTTGTGTGAAGGCTGACATACTGCCCGGGTGTCTAAACCGAAGCACGATTGTAGGAATGCTACCCGTGCTTTGCTAGGTCTTCCGAGTATTTCTAATCGTCAGCTCTAATGCTCCTGTACGCCCTCTTCTTTGTTTCTGTGTATCCAACCCGTGCTTTGACTTCTTTGTTCTTGTTCTGTTGTTGTTAATTGTTGTCTTCTTGTTCTTCCTTTCTTGAATCCTGTCCAGGGTTTCCATAGAGATCCATTCCTTATGATGATGCTTCTTGCGACGCAGAACCTTCTGACATGTTGAAGTTAAAACTTACTTAGCCCCTTAACAGTTGTCCTCCATAACAGTTTCTTCGTTCAGTAGATCCTATAAGGCTTGGAGTCTGATGATGAGAGTTATCTTGAATTCGTTGGGTTTGTCAGTATCTCAAAGGAAGGCTGTATTGAAACTTTATAATGCTGTTTCCCAAGTTTCCCGGTGTTTCTTTAGCTTCAGTTTCATCTCGGCAATCTCCAGGTGGTGTTCTGAAACTATTTCAGCTTCTCTCCTGGTTCTCACGACTTCCATTGTCCTTTTGAATTTTTTAGTGATACAAATATGATCGATCTGGTTCTTCGTGCCGCTTATAACCAATTTGTTGAATGCACATAAATGTGCGAATCTGTCACAATCCTCGTTCCTTTCCCTCAGTCTATGTTGCCCCATGATATCTTCATACACGGCATTGTTCACCCCAACCTTGGCGTTTAAGTCTCCCTTCCGGATGGTCACTCCTTTCCTAGGTACTTCTCTAGAATGAACTGCAACTCCATAAAACTAATCCCTATTATTTTCGCCGTCATCGTTGGTGAGTGCAAAGCGCTGGATGACATTCAATGTAGTACTCTCCATCTTTGTTTTGAAGAATGATTTGATGATTCTGAAGCTATGAGCTTCTAATCCTTTTCATGCTTCTTTAGACAGTATCTCCACCGAAGCTAATATTTTCTGTCCAGCTCGAGTTCAATGTGTTTCACTTATTTCGAGTACCGCCAATTTGTATATCCTCATTTCTTCAGCTATTCAACTGGTCCTCCCAGTCTCCCACATTGTCCGAACATTCCAGACACCTATATTAATTGTTGCTCTGGTTACTAGAAGGCGAATCGTCCTCATGATTTACGAAGAAACTCCGTTTTCTCCATGAGGCGTCATAATACATCTAAATGAAGATCCTTCAACTCCCAGGCGAAAGTTTAAAGTTTTTTCTGGTTAGCGTTGTTTTGTCAAGGTTCCTCTCCACGTGATGAGGTTGCCGACTTTGCACCCAACCTTCTCCTTTATCCGGTTTTGGAACCGGAAGCAACCCTAGAAGGGCTGCAGGCTGACTGTTGCAATCTAGTTCCATGCTATAAACAATAGGTTGGAGAGATGCATGAGTGCTTTTTGAATGTAATGGAACCACAGCATAAACCCACTTGCATACGGTGCAACAGCTAGGCCGAGAGCGCATCGTCCCGAATTAAAAACTAGTGATTATTATACATATAATGGACAAACCCTACTACAAAAACTCAACATTTGTCGTACATAGTTTAAAGACAGACACGTAAGATTACGCTAAACGCAAACGATAATAAATGAAAATGAGTAATTTACTTGCCAATATCCAAAATACCGACAAAAGGTCTTAATTTTAGTATTACGGGAAAATGAAGTGAGCCACAATGGAAGGTGATATGAACAGAGAAAGAAGAAGCCTTGACAAACTGCGGAAGCTATTTCGGAGGACGTTATTACATTTAATTCAAAGCTTGTAAAACATTAACATTTATTTTTGTTCCTAGTCTATTCTAAAAATCATAAGCTTTCGTTTGATGTATGAGTCACTGCCTTAGCCCTTTTTGTTCCAAAGCTATTGCAATTTAAACGTATTATTTTGTACTCTATTTTCTACGCTAATCTCCAGTTTTGTTCACTCTACACCACTTCGAACTCACGCGTACCAGCCTCAAGATTAAGCCAGTCAGCTTATCGCGTCAAGGTCTGAATCTAGATTAGACAAGTTATCCTCAGTACTAAAAGTGGGTAAACAGATCAAGGACGTAACAGAAGGCAATGATCGACAAAAATTCCGAACCATCAAGTTATAGGATTAGGAATTAATTCAAAAAATCTTAGAGCTGATTCAAATGCCATTTTTTACTTTAACTGGAATCACAGCCTACAGCTAAATGACAATAGGAATAAAGTAATGTACAACCCATGACCTACCTGCAATAAGGACTTGTTCATTTTCTTCTGAGTCCCACTTTTGTACTTTACGCCTAGCACCTTCCAGAATAACATATTGGAAGTTTTTTGGATCCGTCTGCATTACAATTCTACCAGCACAGAGATGGCAAGGCATAGAGAATTGGTAGATAGGGGTTGAGTGATACATCCCTACTTTTTTCTTTTCTGCATTATATCTGACACCCATACCGATAGGATTTTTACAAGTGAGACACCAGCAGTTGAAAGGCATTTCAAATCTAATAGTGATAATGCCTTGACCTGCCTTTCTCCCACGTTGACGTAGAGCATGTGTGCCATGGTATGAGTTGAGATTCCTGTGATGATTAGGATCGAAATCGGGAGGATAGTATTTGTTTGTTCCTTTTCTCTCACCCTTTATAAATAAGAAGACAAATGAATTGTTACGGTTAGGAGCTGCTTCTAACGAGGTATGTAAAAGACAAATATCTGGTTGGCCAGTAGAAAGAAACAGGACCCTGCAATATAACCAATCTCGTCTATAAATCAATTTGAATGGATACGTACATATTTAGTCAATGTATATTGACTACAACTCTAGGTATAATATAAAATATGCATCAATTTAAGCTGCGACACACCATATCGTATCGACAAGGGGAGATATACAGAGAGAAAAACCAGGGAAGTAGAAATGATGCTGATGGCATCAAGAATTCAAGATAATAATAAGGGTTTGAAAAAGAGTGAAATCAAATAGTGAACTGTATGAAGTAGTATTGCATGAAATTTGAAAGGGAATAAGGAATAAACCCACTTTCACCAAAAAAATCTACTTCAAATCGAACTGAGTAGCGTTCGACAGTAGATACACGATGTTATAACTGTGAAAAATAATGCTGCGGATTAAGGGATAGCGAATTATTGATCGGACCAAAGACGCACAAACACGTAGAACGACCTAGGGTTCTGATTGGTCTCGCTTCCCTGTCTAGCCCAGTCAATTGAGTCCAGAACACAAGTCTCAGCCTCGGATTTATGAATCATTATATTTCAAACATACTTGTTTATATACCATTCAAGCAGTCCACAACGTACCATAAAATAGAAGATAACATTGTACAATAATGGCCAGTAGGAAAATGACACGTTAAATAAATACTGACCAATAAGATGATACTATTTCATGTCCAAGGATAGCACTAGGCTTAACAGGATAATTTTTGGGATATTTTCCTGAATATCCCAACACACGAGCTCACACAGACTCGAAAATTCGCAAATCCACTAGCTTTCCGTAACCTTATGATTTAGATTACTGTAAGTAACACTGGTATTCCCAAATTTATTTGGATATTATTCTAAGGAATCTCGAGGTGGGTATCACTTTCATGGTTGATTAGCTCGTCTAGTTGTTCCTGATTTTTTCATCATTACGTGGACGTTAAATGGTTTTCTACGTCCAGTAAGACATAGAAAAACACGTGCTCGTACCAGAGTATGATTTCAGTCTAGACAAGTGCTCCAGAATGAGTGAAATTCTTCTACTGAGCTTCTCAAACGATGGCTGATGGTAACGTGATGTATTTGGGTTAGTAATTGAATCGACTGCGGGAGCTAAAACATTTAAAAAATGAACAGATGATAAGTATATCAGCAGTCTGCAACTTCATTTGGGATAGAAGAGCTAGGTCATCTGCGAATTCCAACTCGTCTAGTTGCATGTAAGCTGTACAGTGTATTCTATGCTTCCCCTCTGATGTCGAGGTCTTCATATTTCAGTCGACCACCAGAAAAAAAGAAAGGCTGAGAATAAGCAGCCTTGTCTGACTCTAGTCCTCACTTGGGATGGATCTATCAGATACCCTCCATGAACGACTTCGCAGTGTAGTCCGTTTTATGAATTCCGTATGATATTTACGATCTTCACAGGTACACCACAATGTCGAAGACAGTTCCACAAGGTCATCCTATCCATACTGTCAAACACTTCCTCAGAGTCAATGAAGTTGATGTATAGTGACGAGTTCCACTCAGCTGATTGTTCAACGGTGATCCATAGTATCGCACTTTGTCAGTGCACGATCGATCCTTATGGAATCCGGTCTGTTGATCTCGAAGTTGGACATCTACTGAATCTTCCATCCGGTTTAGCAACACTCTTTTGAAAACTTTTGCTGGTACTGATAGTAGAGTCACGACTTTGTAGTCCTCACATTTGCTCAGATCTCCTTCCTTTGATATCTTGATGAGGTATCCTTCTCTCCAGTTTGTCAACACTTGTTCGTCCTCCCAAATCTTGTTGAATAGAACGTAGAGCATGTTTGCAGTTGCTACTAAATCTCACTTCAGTGCTTCGGCTAGTACGTTGTCAGATCCTGTTGTCTTCCGACTCTTGACTTGTCTGATAGCCATCCTGATTTCTTCGATCGTTCAGTCAGTCAGTAACAACGTAGAACTTCTTACATTCGTACATCAGTTCGAGTTGCCATACCACATTAGCACAGAGATGCAGTTGTCGATTCAAATCCCATTGTGGTAGAGGTAGTAAGAGTATAAGCAGTAGTCGGAAAGATTAGGGTTTGGAGATGTTATTTAAGGAGTATAATCCAGTGAAATAAATTTGGGAAGAGAAAAGAAAGAGACAAGGAGGAATCAGGAGATTAGAATTTGGGAGAACACAAAGAGTGGATGCACCTGCGCCATTGCAAACGATTTTGAGCCATGTCACCATCGGTTGCTATCACCTCGCGGTCCCCAACCAGGTAGTCTACACCTACCAACATGACTCAGTCCACTTGTCAGTGACTTCATGGATTTGTGCCATGTTTTGGTCTGGCCGCTCCTAGCTTTCGCCCAACCTACTCCTATACCACTGAACATCTCACATCGAGGCAGTCGGTCGTTGGGCATACGTAACATGTGTCCCAGACATCTCAACTGATGTAGTTTCACCACTTCATCAATCGATTTGCCATCCTTACCTAGTACCCGTTTCCTAACAACTGCGTTACTTACTCGATGGTCCCATGATATACGAGCAATGCTTCGAAGACACCTATGATCAAATACTAGTAATTTAGGAATATCCTCTACTCTTACCCGCCATGTTTCACAGCCATGAAGTAGGATGGAACGAACTGCTGCGCAGTAAACACGTCCTTTGGTTGATAGACAGATATCTCGCCTACGCCATAAATGACGCAAGTTGGTAAGAGCTAGTCGAGCCTTCTGTATCCGTGCTGAGATTTCGTCACACACCAGACCACAAGGGCTGATGAGACTTCCAAGATAAGTGAAGCGATCGACACGCTCAATTACTTCACTCCCTATCATTAGTTCGGGTGTCGATGCAACCCAATCCTGAAGCAACATTTTGCATTTCGAGAGGGAGAATCGGATGCCGAACATGCTTGCATTGTTGCTTAGAGTGGTCAGAAGACTCGGCATTTTGTCAGCGTCTTCACCAAATAGAACTATGTCATCGGCATATTCCAAGTCAACAAGTGACATTCGCTATGTGTTTTGAATTTCTCTTTTCTTGTTCTGTTGTTGTTAATTGCTGTCTTCTTGTTCTTCCTTTCTTGAATCCTGTCCAGGGTTTCCATAGAGATCCATTCCTTATGATGATGCTTCTTGCGACGCAGAACCTTCTGACATGTTGAAGTTAAAACTTACTTAGCCCCTTAACAGTTGTCCTCCATAACAGTTTCTTCGTTCAGTAGATCCTATAAGGCTTGGAGTCTGATGATGAGAGTTATCTTGAATTCGTTGGGTTTGTCAGTATCTCAAAGGAAGGCTGTATTGAAACTTTATAATGCTGTTTCCCAAGTTTCCCGGTGTTTCTTTAGCTTCAGTTTCATCTCGGCAATCTATTGTGGGGGCTGAAACATCTGAAAAATACACAGATGATGTAGTTCTCTTTAGTGAAGACTGATAAAATGAAGTCTTCTAGCCACCTTAAGCAATAATGCAAGTATGTCTGAGGTGCAGTTCTATCCCTCCAAATGTAAAATATTACTTCAGGATTGGATTGTCACCCCCTAAATTACTGATAAGGAATAGATTAGTTGAACATATCGATCAATTCACTTATGGTGAGCACGTGTTACGTATGCCATACCGCATCAGCACAACGAGATGAACACCGGATTCATAGCAGTGGTTAGGTCAAAGGTGGTAATATATAAGAGAAAGATTGCATATAGTACAAGAAGAAAGAATTGGTTCGTAGAAAGAAAGACATGAAGTGATTTTAATCTCTTAGTTTAAGGGAAGACAGGGAGTGTACACACCGACGCCATTGTGACCGATTCTGAGCCATGTCACCAAGAGTCTCTAACCCTCGGTTACGGAAGTCACGCGGACCCCAACCAAGTAGCCTGCATCTACCAACATGGCTCAGACTAGAGGTTAGTGTCTTCAAGCACTGATGCCAAGTTTTGGTTTGGCCACCCCTAATTCTCTTCCAAACATCTCTAACACCCGTTAGCATTGCACGACGTGGTAATCGGTGTTCAGGCATACGTAACACGTGGCCCAACCATTTCAGTCGATGAACATTAACAACCTCATCAACTGGTTTACCATCATTCCCTAATACCCTGCGTCTAACCTCACTATTACTTACCCGGTGATCCCAGCAGACGCCTGCAATATTTCTGAGGCATCTGTGGTCAAATACTAGTAGCTTACGAGTGTCTTCTACTCTTAATGGCCATGTTTCGCTGCCGTAAATTAAAACAGAAGTGAAGTTGCCAACGCGTTCGACTACTTCACTCCCTATCCTTAGTTCAGGTGTTAACGCAGACCAGTCCTGAAGCAACAACTTGCATTTAGAGGGAGAGAAGCATATTCCAAACATTCTGGCATTGTTGCTCAGTGCTACCAGAAGACTGCATTTTGTCAGCGTCTTCACCAAACAGGACTATGTCATCTGCGTATTCTAAGTCGATAAGTGGACCTCCTGGTAGGAGATCAGTACCCGAGAACTCAGTCGACGAGAAAGTTATTTCCGTCAGTAGATCTATGATGAAGTTAAACAAAAACGGGGAAAGTGGACAGCCTTGACGGACACCACTTGAGGTTGCAAAAGTAGATGACAGTTCGCCATAAGCTTTGATTCGACTAGTAGTGTTCGAGTAAAGAGCCTTTACAAGGTTTATGTACTTCTGTGGTACGCCTTTCGATGACAGACACTGCCACAGAATCTCGCGATCTACCGAGTCAAATGCTGCTTTTAAGTCAAGAAAGACCACCATTGTCGGATGCCGATAAGTATGCCTGTGTTCTAGAACCTGACGAATGGCGACCAGGTCTGAAGCCAGCTTGGTTTTCTCGTGTTTGCAGTTCACGAGTCTTAGTTAGGCGTCTGATAATTATCGAGGCTAGTATTTTAGATATTATATTAGTTAA